CTTTTCCCATCTATCATTCCCCTCTTCTTGTCTATCTCGCCCCTCTCCATCTATCTTGTCCCATTCCTCCTTTATCTCGTCTGGTTCCCATTTATCTCTTCCCATTTCTTGCCCGTCCTTCACCACCTGTTCCTCTTCCCTGTTCTCCACACCATCTGGCTCTCCTCACCCTGTTCTCCACACCATCTGGCTCTCCTCACCCTGTTCTCCACACCATCTGGCTCTCCTCACCCTGTTCTCCACACCATCTGGCTCTCCTCGCCCTGTTCTACACACACCATCTGGCTCTCCTCACCCTGTTCTCCACACCATCTGGCTCTCCTCACCCTGTTCTCCACACCATCTGGCTCTCCTCACCCTGTTCTCCACACCATCTGGCTCTCCTCACCCTGTTCTCCACACCATCTGGCTCTCCTCACCCTGTTCTCCACACCATCTGGCTCTCCTCACCCTGTTCTCCACACCATCTGGCTAAGCACACAGTTGAACCGTTCATCATTATCTCACTATCGTGAATAATTATGTAAAACTCTTGTTTTTAAATGTACATTATTACACAACTCTTTCATTGTTTAAGCAAATCAAGGTGCAAACATTGTCATGTATTCAAGCAAGACCATTACTAGGATAACCACCCATTATGTCCATTTCTTGGGGGGTTCAAATCCTCCATTATAGATATTCTGATATAACGGTTCATATAGATGTTTTCAAGCTACTTGAAGCTAACAATCCCACTTCTATCATTGCAGGGAGCACATGTATTGATAAGTAACACTTTATCTATTATAATCTTCTATGTCTTTTTAAGTGCAGAAGGGAAGATAAGGGCAGGGGCAGGCAGAGGAAGGATAAGGTCAGGAGCAGGCAGAGGAAGGATAAGGGTAGGAGCAGGCTGAGGAAGATAAGGTCAGGATCTGACCCTCCTCAGCGACAGTAACTTTTAAAAAGGTTTGAGAAGCGAGTCTCACCAGACTAGAGAGAGGATGAGGATGAGGATGGGTAGGTGAGAGGGGAGAGTGAGAGAGGGAATTTGGGAGGAGAGAGGGAGAGAGAGTGAGGGGAGGAAAATGAGAGGAGAGAGAGGGAACATCAGTTTCTCAAGAGAGAGGTTGCCCGCTCTCCCTCCCTCTCTTTCTAACTTGTCAGGAGTTACGAAGGTAAACTTCTTCTCGCCAGGTTTGCATACGCCACTGACGCTAACTTATGAATGTGTGTGCCGACCTAACAACTCTTAAGAGCGTTTAGTTAGCATTGCAATGAACTATAAAATGAACACATGGGCTACACCTCTAGTACTCACCTGCATGTACTCACCAATATGTTCTTCAGTGGCCATATCGTCAGTTCCTTGGCGCCATCTCTGTGTCTCACGTCTCCCGCTGTAGTGGCTCCGGCGTCTTGCATCATACCTGTTGTTAAACATTGACTTACACTTTGTCCTCAACCCACTTGCTCTCACTGAAGAGCAAGATGAGCAACACACTAGTACACTGAAGTGCTTCCGTGCCTCTGATTCATCCCAGTATAGAGTCTCGATCCGGGACCAAGTATCGTATGTACATCATGTACCTTCACAGTATCGTATGTACATCATGTACCTTCACAGTATCGTATGTACATCATGTACCTTCACAGTATCGTATGTACATCATGTACCTTCACAGTATCGTATGTACATCATGTACCTTCACAGTATCGTATGTACATCATGTACCTTCACAGTATCGTATGTGCATCTTGATATCACAAGGATATCATCCTTGTGATATCCTGCTTATCTTTATGGGCACCCTGGCCTAGTGGCTAGTGAGACGGACTCGTATGTTCCAGGCCCCCGAGTTCGATTCCCGAATAATCCAAGTGAATTACATATTATATACAATCTATATGGATAAAGTACACACATCGTGTTTTTAGAATTTTTATTATATACATTGTTGCTTGCAAAATTCTTAATACTCACAATCTAAGGAAAATACTTTACATCTTAACGAAGAATATTTTTATTTCCTGTGAAACTTAACATAAAGAAAACATCTCCTTTACTAATAATAATAATAATAATAATAATAATAATAATAATAATTTAATAATTTTAATAAATAACAAATACAATGATTAAGTTTAAGAAATGATCAGTTTTCATCTTTGGCTTTATAGACATAATCAAACGCGTAACTTTGGTTTGTAAATACTACTAGGCTACAGTACCGTACAAAAAAAGATATGTATAACAGATCCTCAAAAGCTTCCTGTTTGATGGGAAAGCTTTTACAAAGTGTTATGTATTGTTTTTTGGGTCACCCTGTATGTTGACTACACCTGGTGAAGACTTAAGATAAACTCGTGAACAATTTTGACGACAATAAACTTTCACTCACAAGCCTCTTGTCGCTAAATTGATTCCAAATTATATTTTTTCAAATTTTGTGTTGAAGAGTTTGATGAAAAAATATGTTTGTTTGCACATAACCTAAGTTTTGTTTGAGGCACCCTTGTTTGTAGACAACTTGATGAGCACCAAAGAGAGTAACACTGTTCTTTGTCTAACAAATAACCTTTGTATCTCCATTACTTCCAGAGGCTACAAATGCTGCAATAATATTATGACCTTTGCAAGTCTTCCTCATCATATTTTATAAGGATGCAAAAATCATCATTAATTATTCTACCGATTTCGCTTTTTTATATTTCTTCTGAAGGCTACGAAGGCATTTTATTTCTATTACATATGCGACCTCTGCCGCTTTTCTTCTCATAGATAAAAAAAAGGACTTTTTTGTATTCTAACCAGTTTGGTGTTGGGGTTGTTGGCTGTTAACCTCTTGAGGGTGATTAAGGCCATTACGAGTGCCTTAATGACCAACCAGCGAGTATACTTTAGTTCCAGTCACTCATCTTGCAATTACTTTAGATTACTGAGGTTATGTGAGCCAGTTGTGCCTACAGCCAGACGCTGAGGCTGGACCAGGAGCTGGAGCCTCGCCACAAGTCAACCACATTACCATCTGCGACCAGCACTAACAATATATACCAAAAGAAACTTGTTGAGTTACATCAATTTTAAATGATTTTCGTCCAATTCGAAAAAATCGAGGAATATTTAACCAGAAATCTGTTTTTTTCTCGGTGCCTTCTTTGTTGACAGGTGGCCAGAAGTGGACAGGTGGCCACTGTTGACAGGTGGACAGAGTGGCCACATAGAGGAAAACTAACAAAAAGAAAGATTAGCTGATCAGAACTTTTGTGGATTTTCAACCAAATATAAAACGAGGCTTGTGATTGGCTCAACAGCTAGCTTGACATTGAACGTGATTGGCTACCTATTTTCCCAGCGCCATTACCCCATACCGACCAACGAATTGTTATCCCTCTGCATTCGTCCTTAGAACAACTTCTGCTTAAACCAATCCACATCTTCGCTTGGAATATATATATATGCCGAGGTAAACTCCAACAGCCTCGTCCAATGGCGCCGTCAACTCCCAAGGGGAGGAAAGGGAACCATCAGGGGAAAAGCACTAAGCCATTACGACTATATAGCACTTGGAAGGGGTCAGGAAAAGGATTTGGGATGGGACGGGGGAGGGGGGGGAAGAATGGTGCCCAACCACTTAAACGGTCGGGGATTGAACGCAGACCTGCACGAAGCGAGATCGTTGCTCTACCGTCCAGTCCAAGTGGTTGGTATCAACTGCCAAGACTCGCGATGATGGTGTCTGGTGGACCTCGATAATATGACTTCCCCAACCCGTTCTCCCACTTGCTTATAGTCAATATTGGCTTATTTAATAAGTGCATATGTGACATACTACTTGATTGTGAATATTTTAGTTTACCTTGAAAATCTTCATAGAAAACACCGACATCACCTAACCTTCTTAGTATGTTAAGATAAGCATGTTATTGCTTCTTATTTACAATTATTACTGAACCTATCAACGGTATAGGTTCAGTAATAATTGTAATTAAGAAGCAATAAGATGCTTATCTTAACATACTAAGAAGGTTAGGTGAGGTCGGTGTTTTCTATGAAGCTATTCAAAGTAAACTTAAATATTCACAATCAAGTAGTATGTCACCTATGCACTTATTAAATAAGCCAATATTGACTATAAGCAAGTGCGAGAACTGGTTGACCTCAGAGCTGTATATCTCTGTATATGTCTTAACACCTTACAGTTGTGCCCCTCACCAAGCATAAGTACACAAAAAAGATATCAGGCCCGGTAGTGAGCATATCACAAGTCCCATTATAAGCATAATAAGACTCATCTTACTTATATAATCCCGTTTTCCTTCACTCCATCACAACCTCGCGCATCATACTGAAAAAAAATTAACTCTGGTCTTATTAAAACGAAATAAAAATAAATGATTCAAACAGGGTCTCTTGTCCATAAATATTTATAATATATGTCTCCGTTACTCCGTTATTATCCTACTGTTTATGAGGCATAGTTCCTTACCGTTACGGGAGCGTATCCCGTTTTCTGTTACTGAGGCTAATTATCAACCCGGAGCCAGATTCACGAAGCAGTTACGTAAGCACTTACAAACTTGTACATCTTTCCTCAATCTTTGACGGCTTTGGTTACACTATTAAACAGTTTACAAGCATGAAAACTTGCTAATCAACTGTTGTTATTGTTATAAACAGCCTCCTGGTGCTTCGGAGCTCATTAACCGTTTAATAATTGTAAACAAAGCCGCTGAAGATTGAGGAAAGATGTACAGGTTCGTAAGTGCTTGCGTAACTGCTTCGTGAATCTAACCCCTGGCCTGGCGGTCATTTTGACCACAGCCGCTCCCAATACCGACGTGATGTCCCGTTTTCTATTCGTAGGTTCTCGGTTAGGTTAGGTTCGGGCAACTTATTACGTCAGTTTAGTGACGTTGTGACCGCTGGAGAAGCAGGGATAAATTTGGTGAAGAATGGAGCACTTTTTGCACTACATTTATCGCAGGTTTGGATGATGAAATATATACAAAATTTATTTAGTTCAATGTATATTTTTGTATGGAATTATTTTGATTAATTATTCCTCAAAAAGTTGAGCATCTACAGCGTCTTTTTGACCCTTTAGTTTCCACATGGAGGCCTATCGTGTAGGCCTATCGTGGAGGCCTATCATAGAGCTCTATCATAGAGGTCTATCATAGAGGCCTATCGTGGAGGCCTATCATAGAACTCTATCATAGAGACCTATCATAGAGGCCTATCATAGAGCTCTAGCATTGAGGCCTATCATAGTGGCCTATCGTGGAGGCCTATCATAGAACTCTATCATAGAGGCCTATCATAGAGGCCTATCATAGAGGTCTATCATAGAGGTCTATCATAGAGGCCTATCATAGAGCTCTATCATAGAGGCCTATCATAGAAGCCTACTCATTACGCCACTAAGCATGCTTCTGTTTTCTGAGCCAGTGTGACGTCATCGCTGGTTCTTGATTGGTTGATGTATCCTTAAAGTGTGACGTCAGCACTGTCTCCTGATTGGTTGGCATCGGCTAATCAACATCGAGCGTAGTTTAGCTGATGACCTCAGCTGACTGACGTCACTGATGTTGGCTGTCGACGTCACCGATGTCTCCTAATGACGTAAGCGACGTCGTCATCTATGACGTGACATATTTGGCATTTTCAATTGGGTTTTGGTTTAATAAAAATATCTTACGATAGGAAATCTTAATATTAAACGATATTTACAGTGGCCGTGAGGCGTTTAGACTAGTAAACCACATCTCTCTCTCTCTCTCTCTCTCTCTCTCTCTCTCTCTCTCTCTCTCTCTCTCTCTCTCTCTCTCTCTCTCTCTCTCTCTCTCTCTCTCTCTCTCTCTCTCTCTCTCTCATACACCATTTATATCTCATTCTTCCTCTTTCCTTCTATATCTGGCTCGTGTATAACATGCAGTAAACCAGGATACCCACACAATGAGGGTGTCCACTCTTTCATTTACAGTTTACAAAAGTAACAGTTAGAGCGACTGGTTAGTCTTGTTTCTCCTCAAACACTTGACTGGCCTGTCTCGCTACCTCTCATGTACCTGACTGGCCTGTCTCGCTACCTCTCATATACCTGACTGAAGAGTCTACCTACCCTTCACACACCTGATTGGCCAGTATTTACTACCCTCACCCCCATCCCCTCGACACACACTTGACTTGCTAGTATTCCTTCCCCCACACACATCTGATTGGTTAGCCTTGCTACACCCCCCCCCCCACTCACACACCAGACTGGCCAGTTGTACAATCCCTCACACACCTGACATACCTGACTACACTCACATCTCACTGACCAATATTGACTGACTCTGTACACTTGTAATGTTCAAGCCATTCGTATATATAGCAAATGTCAAACCTGATTCTGTCTACCACAGATGGCATATTTGTTACAGCATTGCTGGAACACTTGTACCACAACACAGCATTGCTGGAACACGTGTAACACAACACAGCATTGCTGGAACACGTGTAACACAACACAGTATTGCTGGAACACGTGTAACACAACACAGTATTGCTGGAACACGTGTAACACAACACAGCATTGCTGGAACACGTGTAACACAACACAGTATTGCTGGAACACGTGTAACACAACACAGCATTGCTGGAACACGTGTAACACAACACAGCATTGCTGGAACACGTGAATGTCCAAACACTGTATTCCTGGTTCACGCCACGACTACATTCCTGAGAATGTATCTCTATTTGTTTACCATTTTCCTGGAAATAAGGACGTCGTCTGCACTTCCAGAATTCACGTACTTCTTGTGTCTACTTCTCTGGAAAGTATTTTACACTTATTATTCTTGCACGAAGCTTTCATTTTGCATTATTTGTTGTCTTTAAGGGGAGAGAAATCAGGAAATTTCCGTTCCAGTATTTCCTGAAATCATTATATATCTCCTTCACAAATTCTGGAATACATAGCACATGTTTTTTGGGACTACATTGAACAATACACTCCCGTTTGAGCAGTCCTGGAACCTCAAACATCTGCAGGCGATAAGTCACAATAACGTGGCTGAAGTATCAGCCACGTTATCTGATAACGTGGCTGATCTTATCTCAAACATCTGTCTTGTTTGTCTTTTTGTGGTTGTTGCGACACCAACAGCACCTCACATGTAGTTGAGGTTGGACCAGTAGTCCGTGTAGTCCTTGTAGGTGACCAGTCTGGCCAGCACGGGGCAGTAGGCGGCCAGGGCCGTGGCCACCAGCGCCAACATGTACGCGTAACCTAACTCACAACTGCCGGAGGAGTAGACCGTAGCGGCGTCCCCACACTGTAGGCGCGCGAACGGCGACCCCAGACCCAGTGGGTACAGCACCAGACCCACCGCCTGCAGCGACACTGTAGGGAGAGACATGGGCGTTAAGGTGTTGGTGGTAGTGGTAGTGGTGATAGTGGTGGTGTATACAGATGGCAGTAGGGATGACACAACAGCCTGCAGGAACAACACCAGGCCTCAGGGAGACAGTAGTATGAGGAAGGTGGTGATCATGATGATAGTGGAAATAGCAGTACTAGAAGGATACACATACACATCATCGGAGTGTGTGTGTGTGTGTGTGTGTGTGTGTGTGTGTGTGTGTGTGTGTGTGTGTGTGTGTGTGTGTGTGTGTGTGTGTGTTCTACTTACAACATTATCAAAAATAAAACTGGAACGCAACAATTTTTTTTAACTTAAAAATATAAACATTTTCGCCATATTAGGAACACTTAAGATAACGTGACTGGATAGTAATAGTTTTAGTGTTGGAGTAAAGTACACTGTGAGTGTATATACACCGAGACGCAGGATACACCTCTTGAGTCTCTGTGTCTAGGTCTCCTGGCGACGTTTGAGCGAAACAAAACAATCTTGACCAATGCACACACTAGAAAATAAAGGGACGACGACGTTTCGGTCCGTCCTGGACCATTCACAATCGACTTGAGAATGGTCCAGGACGGACCGAAACGTCGTCGTCGTCCCTTCACCTTCTAGTGTGTGGTCTGGTCAACATACTTCACCCACGTTATTGTGACAATAACAATCTTATCATCAAAACAATCTTATCATCATTTTGGGTGAATAACACGAACAAGTTTTAGAAGAACAAACAGAAGAACAAAAAAAAAATAAATAGTAATAATTGCGGCAATAAACATAAAACTCGTGAAAAGTAAATAAGGCTAAAATTACAAATTGTTTATTTTTTGTTAAACAGAAAGAAAAAATTCATGGGTCTCCCCATGTGGGAATTCTTGCTGTGGTAAAAGAAAACGGGGTGTAAATCTTGTATGTTATCTGCCCACTTGTCATGCCATTCATAAGATAACAGGTAGAGTCCAGAGGATTACAGGCTGACACAGGTGTCACGTCAGGATGATTAGGGTCCGCGCAGGTGTTAGGGCGTGGTAATTACAGGCTGGCACAGGTAAACCTTCCATAAAGTCACACTAATATTTTCCGTGTCACGTGTTAAGGGATTTATGTCATCTATAACATGTATAGTGTCGCTGGTGGTGTGTGTGTGTGTGTGTGTGTGTGTGTGTGTGTGTGTGTGTGTGTGTGTGTGTGTGTGTGTGTGTGTGTGTGTGTGTGTGTGTGTGCGTGTGTGTGTGTGTGTGTGTGTGTGCGTGTGCGTGTGTGTGTGTGTGTGTGTGTGTGCGTGTGTGTGCGTGTGTGTGTGTGTGTGTGTGTGTGTACTCACCTAGTTGTACTTACCTAGTTGTGTTTGCGGGGGGTAAGCTCTGGCTCTTTGGTCCCGCCTCTCAACCGTCAATCAACAGGTGTACAGATTCCTGAGCCTACTGGGCTCTATCATATCTACATTTGAAACTGTGTATGGAGTCAGCCTCCACCACATCACTGTGTGTGCGTGTGTGTGTGTGTGCGTGCGTGTGTGTGTGTGCGTGCGTGTGTGTGTGCCAGTACATTCGTAAATGTTTAGGTATAAATACAAGAAATTCTCTCTACTCATTTTCTCACCCATTTTCTTCATGTGCTTACAAAAGACACCCCCATACACCCCCATTATACACCACACACGGTCCTAAAAGATGTAGAAGGTGTTCTACACACACTAGCCAAATGCATTACAATTCTTGTCGGCGTACATAAATGCATTGCGGGAGCCTTGCCACCTCTTACGGGCTATTCATGCCCGTGCCACCTCTTGGGTAGCTTAATCTTTATCCATCTTGCCACCTCGCCCTCCGCCTGCACACACCTCCTGGAAGGTTGGTGAGCATTCTGACCACGGCTGTGGCCAGGGAATGGTTGGTCTGTTATTGATGGGTAAGTGAAGTGAGAAATGGTTGAGGTGTGTATCGACAGGTGTAACTACTTAAGAAAATGGGACAGGAATGGGGGAGATGGTAAGGGATGGGACGGGGAGGCGGTGGTTAAGGGATGGGGAGAGAAGCGGGCACCCCTCCCCTGAGCCCCTTAGTTAATAGTCCCCTCAGCTGTGGCGTTGATGGTGTCCTGTGGGGCAGCGATTTAGGCTCATTAATGACGCCAGACTCAAGTGTGGTGAACGGGCACATGTACTCGTCTAGTTGTGTTTACAGGGGGGTTGAGCTTCGGCTCTTTGGCCCCGATTCTTAACCTTAAATCGACTGGATTACAGGTTAATGATTCTATTACACTGTATTATAGGTACAGTTGAGGGAGTGTGTACTCTGCCTCCTCTGCCTCGCCCTGTTCACTACTCTGTAACATTTAAGTCATTATATCTAACATGTGTCTGTGTCTTATTGCTGTGTTGACACTCACCCTGAGTGTTCTTATGACACCACCACCGTGTGTGTGTGTGTGTGTGTGTGTGTGTGTGTGTGTGTGTGTGTGTGTGTGTGTGTGTGTGTGTGTGTGTGTGTGTGTGGTGTGGTGTGGTGTGGTGTGGTGTGTGTGTGGTGTGGTGTGTGTGTGTGTGTGTGTGTGTGTGTGTGTGTGTGTGTGTGTGTGTGTGTGTGTGTGTGTGTGGCTATTTACTCAGCTATGTGTACTCTCCTCGTTCATGCTAAACATATGGTTTTGTTCATTTTGTCCAAGCCTTTAAGTAACTTATATATCTGGATCATGTCTCTAACTCTTTATTTGTTCCAAATTTATTAAATTTGGTTCCATCATCTTTCCTCATTGTTCATCCCACTTTGTCCAAGGAATATATTTTAATCAGTCCTTAGACATTCTCTAGGTTTGCTAGTGTATTCCTAAGATGGAATTTCACATTGAGACTGCATATTCCACAACTGGTCTGACGTAGGTTATGCACAACGTTGTGGAAGCTTGGCGAGTTTGTATTCGCCGCTGATGGTATCCAGTTTGTGTGAGCCTCCGGTAGCAGGCTTGGTCGTTTGCAACCCTGCCCGTCTGAACGTGAGTGACATGACTCTTCCACCTCTAATTAACGTAATAATCACCTCCGAAGGATACCTGTTCAAAGTGTGATGTCAGACTTGAAGCAGCGGCGTGTAACAGCCTGCTTGACCATGCACTCCACCAGGAGGCCTGGTCTGAAGCCGGACTGTGGGGGATATTGATCCTTACAACTACCTCAAGGTCACCTCAGGGAATGTCGGGGACAGCATAACCTTGCATTTGCTGGAAATGAAGTCGAACAGCCATCTCTCTCGTGCGAAAGGTGCAATTGAAGAGTTGTGGGCAGGTGGTGTGTTGTGACACGTGTGGTGTGACATGTGTGGGAGGCAGCCACGGCTGTTCTCCCAGACCTGAGACAGACCCGGGACAGACCTGAGACAGACATGAGACAGACCTGAGACAGACCTGAGACAGACCTGAGACAGACAGACAGACGCAGCCTTATCAACACTTACTCTCCCCTCCTCCCCCAAGGACACTCCAGGAAAACATTAATAATAACATCAATACTACAAATTATGTAAATAAATAGGAACGCAAATATCAATAAAGGAGATGAAAATAATATTTGCCATCCATTGTTGATCTTTCATTTCCCCTTTACCTCGCCCCCCCTCTCTCTCTCTCTCTCTCTCTCTCTCTCTCTCTCTCTCTCTCTCTCTCTCTCTCTCTCTCTCTCTCTCTCTCTCTCTCTCTCTCTCTCTCTCTCTCTCTCTCTCACCTCTTCCCTTCTTTTCTGTCTCCCTTATAATCATCCCTTCACCGTCCCTATACTCCCATTTCCCCTTTCCCTTCCCTCTTCACCTCTCTCCTCCCCCTCACCATCTTTCCTCACCCCTCACCTCTCCCCCTCCCCCCCCTCACCACGTCGCAGTCTCACAATCTTTATTTTTCCTTAGTAAAGTTGCAATGGCGGCCGACCATTTTGGACAAGTTCAGGACAGGAAATAGTAAGTTGGTGAGTTTATAGTCGTCGTTAAGTTGGGAAAAGTTAGAATGGACAGGCTAATGGCGACGATTGTTTGGCGAGGCGGGCAATGGGAATGGGGCAAGATAATGCTTGTCTGCTTCATTGTTTCCCTAGTATTTATGTATCTTCATATATATATATATATATATATATATATATATATATATATATATATATATATATATATATATATATATATATATATATATAAATAATATATTTCCATGTACCCCTCCTCATCACTCTAACCTTTCCTTTACGGTACCAGCATTGCTACTCTGTAATGTTTGTATGTTAACACTTAAGCACAAGTTGTAATATACCCAGACCTGACCACCTCTCATATTCTAAGTTCATCGCAATATTTACCTTAATGTTACGTCTGTGTATATTGAAGATTTTTATACAATTTCTTATTTTTATTACAACTTGATAATTTAGATGTGACGCCTATTGGTGAATGTCCTGTGTCACACCTCTCCTGGTGCTTACTAAGGCACATAATGGGCTCAGGTCATGACCCCATTATGTGCCTCTGTGATCTTCTCTTCAACCCACAGCATGGGTATGGAGTCCACTAGAGTCCACAGGATGGGTCTGGGGTCCACTAGAGTCCACAGGATGGGTCTGGGGTCCACTAGAGCCCACAGGATGGGTATGGGGTCCACTAGAGTTCACAGGAAGGGTATGGGGTCCACTAGAGTCCACAGGAAGGGTCTGGGGTCCACTAGAGTCCACAGGAAGGGTCTGGGGTCCACTAGAGCCCACAGGAACGGTATGGGGTTCACTAGAGCCCACAGGAAGGGTCTGGGGTTCACTAGAGCCCACAGGAAGGGTCTGGGGTCCACTAGAGCCCACAGGATGGGTATGGGGTCCACTAGAGTTCACAGGATGGGTATGGGGTCCACTAGAGTCCACAGGAAGGGTATGGGGTCCACTGGGGCCCACAGGAAGGGTATGGGGTCCACTGGAGCCCACAGGAAGGGTATGGGGTCCACTAGAGTCCACAGGAAG